TTGGAAAAAAAAAAAAAGAAGAGGGAGCTGGTTGTGGAGGACAGGGGACACTTGTCTGAGGGAGCTTCCTGCCTCTGAGGAGGTTGTTGAGCAAATGAAAATAGGAAAGTGGTATTTTCTAGCTAAACATTAATTTTAAATAATAAACGGGCAAAGGATATGAACACACAGTTAATAGAAAAGTAATACGGATAGCTTTTAAGCAAATGAAAAGATACTGAGCCACCTCTTAATAGAACTGAAACTTAAAATTAAGGTGAAATGCTATTTTTTAAAATGTCAGATTGGAAAAGATACACAGATTAGAAAAGATATTGGCCAGGCGCGGTGGCTCATGCCTGTAATTGCAACACTTTGGGAGGCTGAGATAGGTGTATCACTTGAGGTCAGGAGTTTGAGAGCAGCCTGGCCAACATGGTGAGACCTCAACTCTACTAAAACCACAAAAATTAGCTGGGTGTAGTGGCACACATCTGTAATCCCAGCTACTCGGGGGGCTGAGACAGGAGAATCACTTGAACCCGGGAGGCAGACGTTTCAGTGAGCTGACATGCCACTGCACTCCAGCCTGGGCGGCAGAGTGAGACTCTGTCTCAAAACAAAACAAAAAAAAAAGAAAGAAGAAAGAAGGAAAGAAAGAAAGAGAGAGAGAGAAAGAAGGAAGGGAGGGAGGGAGGGAGGGAGAGAAGGGAAGGGAAGGAAGGAAGGAAGAAAAGAAAGAAAAGAAGAAAGAAAAGAAAGAAAGAAAGAAAAGATATTGTAGAGAAGAACATCGTTTTTCATTGTTGATGGGAGTTCAAAATGTGTGAGCCTCTTTGAAGGCAATTTGGCAACAGCTATTCCAACTTGAATGTCTTTGACCCAACAATTTCATGTCAGGAATTTTTTCTACATTAGTGCTCACATGGGCTACAAATTCCGTCATACTAGAGTGTTCATTGCAGCGCTGTCAGTAATTACAAAGAACTGGAAACAACTTTAATGTCTATCAAAAAAGAACTGGTTGATTAAACTGGCACATTCCTCAATAGAATGCTATGCAGCTGTTAAAAAGAATGAGATAGATCCCCATGTACTGATACAAAATGGTCTGTGAGATATTAAGTGGGCTGGGTGCAGTGGCTTACACCTGTGTAATCCCAGCACTTAGGGAGGCTGAGATGTGAGGATGGTTTGAGTCCAGGAATTCAAGACCAGTTTGGACAACATGGCAAAACTCCATCTCTACAAAAGAGAAATTAGTCAGGCATGGTGGCGCATACCTGTAGTCCTAGCTACTCAGGAGGCTGAGGTGTGAGGATCGCCTGAGTCCTGGAAGCTGAGGCTGCAGTGAGTCATGATTGGGCCACTGTACTCTATCTTGGGTGACAGAGCAAGACACTGTCTCAAAAAAAGTAATAATATCTCAAGCAATTTGTAGATGACAAATAATAATAATAAGTAAAAAGGCAAGCTGCAGAACTGTGCATGTGATATGCTACTGTTAATATATAGATATAGTCCCTAGATTAAGGATCAGGTAAAGTGATTGCCTCTGAGGAGGGAAACTCTAATAAGAATAGTGGGAGATTGCCTGGCGCAGTGGCTCACGCCTCTAATCCCAGCACTTTGGGAGGCTGAGGTGGGCAGATCACCTGAGGTTGGGAGTTCGAGACCTGCCTGACCAACATGGAGAATTCCCATCTCTACTAAAAATACACAATTAACTGGGCATGGTGGTGCATGCCTGTAATCCCAGCTACTCAGGATGCTGAGGCAGGAGAATTGCTTGAACCTGGGAGGCGAAGGTTGCAGTGAGCCGAGATCACACCATTGCACTCCAGCCTGGGCAGTAAGAGCGAAACTCCATCCCCCCTCCCCCAAAAAAAAAGAATAGTAGGAGATTTTAGCATTTAAAACATATACATATAGATAGAATAATAAATTTCATTAATAGGTCCGATAAGAGACACCCTGAAATTATCTCAATAAATGCCAAAATATGTAGTCAATAAAACTCAATGCCTATCACTGATTTTCAAAATTATTTTAGAAACTAAAATAAAGGCTGGGCGCGGTGGCTCATGCCTGTAATTCCAGCACTTTGGGAGGCTGAGGCGGGTGGATCATGAGGTCAAGAGATTGAGACCATCCTGGTCAACATGGTGAAACCCTGTATCTACTAAAACAAAAAATTAGCTGGGCATGGTGGTGCGTGCCTGTAATCCCAGCTACTCAGGAGGCTGAGGCAGGAGAATTGCCTGAACCCAGGGGGCGGAGGTTGCGGTGAGCCGAGATCGTGCCATTGCACTCTAGCCTGGGTAACAAGAGTGAAACTCCATCTCAAAAAAATAAAATAACATAAAATAAAATAAAATAAAAAATAGTGACAAAAGAGTATGCAGAGAAACTTTATGTCTCATACATTTCTAGTGGGATGTAAAATAGTACAGCCAATCTGAAAAATAGTTTGGCAGTTTCTTTAAAAAGTACAATCTTTTTGAGTCGGAGTCTCACTCTGTCACCCACACTGGAGTACACTAGCGCAAACTCGGCTCACTGCAACCTCTGTCTCCTGGGTTCAAGCAGTTCTCCTGCCTCAGCCTCCCAAAGTGCTGGGATTACAGATGCA